TTCCACATTTATGTCTTTACCTGCAATAAGGTTTGTTAAATATTTACTACACAAGTGTCTACACAAGTCACTCTAGCGATCTTTATTTCCACATTTATGTCTTTACCTGCAATAAGGTTTGTTAAATATTTACTACACAAGTGTCTACACAAGTCACTCTGGCGATCTTTATTTCCACATTTATGTCTTTATTTGCAATAAGGTTTGTTAAATATTTACTACACAAGTGTCTACACAAGTCACTCTGGCAATCTTTATTTCCACATTTATGTCTTTATTTGCAATAAGGTTTGTTAAATATTTACTAGAAATTTACGCACAATAACAGTTTCAACTTCCAAAAAGATACCTGCATGTCTGTGAAGTATTCAATAAAGAATTAAATAAAATATATGAACAAAGCATACCATGTTTAGTACAGTTTTACTTTTACGTATTGAATATCACAGAAAAGTTAAGGTATTATAGACTAGTGAAAAAATTTCATTAACATTTTTTTAGGTGGAAAACTATTTAAGCAGCAGTAAAACGAAACAAAATTATCATATTTTCAACAAAAGCCTCTTTATTACATTGTTTCCATTTATGATAATTTAGTATACCCATTAAATCTACCAGTAATGTTGAACTGCAGAAGATGAATGAGTTGATAATTTAAAAAACAACAACATATGTCACAGTATACCAGAACAGGAGTTCAAAGACTTTCTCACACATACCTCCCCCCTCCAAAAAATTGCATCCTGATTGAGGACCCCCACCCAATGAATCTTTAGAGAACCTGAACAGTATTGTGTATTTGTTTCCTGCAGTCCCCCAGTTTAAGAATTACTAACACTAGATAATTACACATGAATAACAGTTAGTAGTCTGTTTCTACTTTAAGTTAACTTATTGATCTCTATAATGTTTGTTTGTTGAAATGCTTCAGTTATCAACTAAAACATTTTTCACAAGTGTTAGAATATGCAGTGTTTTGTCGGCTTATAAGTTGCATCTATTTTCAGGTAATCAGATGTATCTGTTTGATGAACCACCCAATTCCCAACACAAAAGATGCTTTGTCGTGTCAGATAATCATTCCTCAAAAACAAGTTGATCGTCATTCAGGTGAGATCTTCTGGAGAGTTTACCAGATATTTTGTAAGATGAACATTTGTGTCATTCTTCTGTCATCTCGAAAGTCAAAAATTAAAAATTCTAGCCAGTGAAACTTTGGAAAACATTTAGCATTTCTGTTTCTGAAGTGTTTTTGTTAATTTCATTGGTAGGAGAAAGTAGGCCCTGTGTGTGTCATAGTATTAATTTGTTACAGTCTCATAAGAACCCTTTTATTGAAAGCATTAGAAATTATGGTAATCGTACACTTTCAGAAAGTTAATATTTAAAATATTACTGGTTGTTAGGAAAATTTTTTTTTATGTGTTCAGCAAAATATCATAAACTATTAATATAATTATTTTATTACAATGCTCAACTGATTACCACATTTAAAATTCGTGTGTCGAAATGTCTAGTAGCAATAATACGTGTATCAACCACATGAAGAACATGATTACATCAGGTAGAAAATCATTGAAGAGGTATAGCATACCCAGTAAATCTACCAGTATGAAGAGGTATAGCATACCCAGTAAATCTACCAATCATAAAGTTAATCATAATTGTATTAATTCCATAACGTTTCTTTCTGGTTGGAGAAAGTAGGCTGGTTTAGCTAATAAATTAATCATATGGATAAAACATTCATGAATATTTAGTCTTTTTATACACCAAGATTTTCTGTTAATTAATTGATATGAAGAGGTATAGCATACCCATTAAATCCAACAGTATGAAGAGGTATAGCATACCCAGTAAATCTACCAGTATGAAGAGGTATAGCATACCCAGTAAATCTACCAGTATGAAGAGGTATAGCATACCCAGTAAATCTACCAGTATGAAGAGGTATAGCATACCCAGTAAATCTACCAGTATTTGTTAGCTCCTTCATCATAAAGTTAATCATAGCGTTTCTTGTTGTTGATTTTTCAAATTGTGAGAAAAAAACATAAAATGATTAATTTTCCCTTATACAGTGTAGCTTTTCAGAAGGATATACTTTGAAGAACTATCACATATGGTAATGGCAGTTCTATTAATTTGGGATCAGCTTGTCAATGTTACTTTGTGTGTATCGGGTGATGAAGCTATGATCTATAGTGATCTGTCTGTTTTTATTAATAGGTTAAGTGCTATTTATGGAGGCACCTATATGCTAGATAAAGCAATTGATGAATTAGTGATTGAGAAGGGAAAAATTGTCGGTGTTCGTTCAGGAACTGAAACTGCAAAGTGCAAACAAGTTTACTGTGATCCTTCGTATGTTCCTGAGCGAGTAGAAAAAGTAGGCCAGGTAAGTTCAGCTAATCATAGCTAGTTTTATTAACTTCTACATAATAAAGTTATTTATAATTCTGTTAACTCCATCATATAGTTAATCGTAGCTTTGTTAGCTCCTTCATCATAAAGTTAATCATAACTTTGTTAACTCCTTCTTAGTAAAGTTAATCATAGCTTTGTTAACTCCTTCATCATAAAGTTAATCATAACTTTGTTAACTCCTTCATCATAAAGTTAATCGTAGCTTTGTTAGCTCCTTCATCATAAAGTTAATCATAACTTTGTTAGCTCCTTCATCATAAAGTTAATCGTAGCTTTGTTAGCTCCTTCATCATATAGTTAATCGTAGCTTTGTTAGCTCCTTCATCATAAAGTTAATCGTAGCTTTGTTAGCTCCTTCATCATAAAGTTAATCATAGCTTTGTTAACTCCGTCATCACTATTTAATTACAATTCACAACTGCTCATCACTTTTAGGGACCACACCTTCATCTCTTCAACAACAATTGTAATCCCACTAAATTCTCTTTACTGTAGATTAATAATCAAATTTACCATTTTTTTTACTGTAAGCACAGAACCAGATAACAGCTTCTATACATTAAGAAGGCATCTTATTGGTTTGTCGGTATTGAAGAGTTAGTGTTAAGCTTACGGGCAACATTTTGTCTTAAGTACAAGGCAACAAGTTTTATGTAAATTCAAGGTAGTGTTCTGTAGATATACCAGTAATGATTTCGTATTTTAAATGATGTAATTATAAAGGTCTTAATCCGTTTGCATTGGGTGCATTAAATAACTTTTCTAGCGAGGTATGTCAGTGAAATTAACATTATAATTGTATAATTCAAAATTTTATATTATGTGAGTTTTAGTTCTTTTATTTCAAAAGAAACCTTTAAAAATAAATATAAACCTCAGTTTTGTTCTCACATGATACGTAATCGTTCATAAATCTGAAATTTCAGATTCTCCAACTTGAATCAGACAACTACACAGTGTCTGAACAGTGTCTAGATAAAAACTTTATTTACTGCTCTATTTATATGTATGTTTCAAAGTTTATTGGCTGAGTTCAGTGAACACAAGAAATACATTTTGCCATGCTCACTTTCAATACTTAGACTTGAGATTCAGAAGCCACTTGTACTTATTTGATGCAACTGTTTGTAAACAATAAAAAGAGCTCAATCTCCCAATAGTTATTTTAAAGCTGGTGCACAGTTTTCGTTATCAGCTACATGTAACTGACAGTAGTAATTGTTTGCTGCTTTGTCCACGATAGCGGGCCCAACATGGCCAGATGGTTAGGACGCTCAACTCGCAATCTGAGTGTTGCGGGTTCGATTCCCCGTCACACCAAACATGCTTTCAGCCATGGTGGTGCTATAATGTGAAGGTCAAGCCCACTATTCGTTGTTAAAAAAGTAGCCCAAGAGTTGGTGGTGGGTGGTGATGACTAGCTGCCTTCTCTCTAGTCTTACACTGCTAAATTAGGGACGGCTAGCGCAGATAATCCTCGTGTAGCTTTGCAAGAAATTCAAAACAAACTAAACCAATTGTCCACAATAGCACTTATGGTTGTTTTTTACCGAAATCTCTATTACTTAAGAGAGACAGTTAAATTGTATTTGTGTTTTCCTTTTATATTTTAGTTAATTATGTGTTGTTGTTTTTTTGTTTTAAAATGCATCATTGAAAGGTTTAAAAATTTCTAATATAACTCGAACTTTGCCTCGTTTCTCAAGGCTTACGATAGTACACGAGTGCAAGACAATATAATACGCCCCAAGGACACAATTGACTTCTGTTGAGATGAATAATAAGTGATAAAGGACAAGAAAGGAAAATCAAACATTAAAAATAAACTATATGTGAAAAGGTAATGACCCTAAATGACGAATATAACCAAATGAAGATCTTTTAAGATATTCTCAGGAACAAATGTACATTTGACTTCACATATATGTTGATGATAAAATCTACAGTTAGTGATATGGTAGAAAAAATAAAATTTATAACATACCTTAAAATCTTTTGGTATTCATTTAGGAGTTTCTAGACGTTGTGCAAATGAAATTTTAAAATTGTGAGGCTGAAAAACAGTGTTTTTATACTTTCAAGTTAAAATCGCTGTACAATCGAACTATTTAGTCTGAGTGCAAATTACTACAATAAATCTTTTTTTAGCAGAAATATTTAATTAAAATAATGTCATTCATTATATACAAAATACTTGTAATCTCTAAGAAAATCTTGCAAGTTGTCGTGAGGGTGTGTTAAGAAATATCGGAGTTACCCTATGTATTACTGCACGCGTATCCTTCTCCAGACGGGTTCGTGTATTTTACACGAACCCATTGCAAAAGGGTTAATTGAACACAATCAAACTAGCATTCTAATTAAATGAAATACACCTTTAGGAAGGAAACAGAAGTGTAGTAATAAACCACATATATATATATTAAATATAACTTCAGTATAGATTGAAAACTAATCATTAAATTGTTTAAGTATAAATCATGATATCATACGCTGTATAGGTCAGTTAGAGGTCTTGAAATCTAACTGTGTTGATTGAATCATCAGTTGGGTGTCTTCTCAGTAATCAATACTTTGGGCCGAAGTAACATCTGTGCAGATGTAGATTAGATCTGAATCCAAGCGGTAAAACAAATTAGTACATATTGATATTATTTATATGCTCTAGGTTAAGGTGATAATATTTACTAGCAGAAACATGACAGAGAAATTTAAGGAACCACTGTGAACTGTGATTCTTGCAATGTTAGCCTAACACCCACCTGGCAAATCCCTGTGGTAGCTCCCCAAGACCATAGAGTGGATAGAGATAGGGGCTTTTTCCATAACGAGCTAACGAATCACTGTACAGCTTGATCCTCTCAATTAATTTTAAACAAGACTTGTTGAGATACCTAAAGAAAGCAGAAAACAACAACATTACAATGTATTTTCACATTTTATCATTTCTTTTATGTTAAATAAACTGTCCTATTTAATTTCATGCAATACACCCACTGAATTTACGTTCTTTGAATTCAAGTTTTACTTGTGTATGTACATTGTAGAGTTGTAACATACCAAGGTCACTGGGTCACCACGAGTAATATAAAAGGTACTTTATACTGACAGTGATAGGAATTTTAAAGGAAAAAAAATATATATCAATCCATGAAGACTTTACAATATATTACAAGAAGTTTCCAGTATATCTAGTAAAGTTATTGTTGGAACATCATTGTTAACAGACGAAAGTAGAAGAAAGGAAGTGTCTAACCTAGCTTGATAGACGTGACAGAAGTAGAAGGAAGTGTTTAAACTAGCTTGATAGACGTGACAGAAGTAGAAGGAAGTGTTTAAACTAGCTTGATAGACGTGACAGAAGAAAGTGTTTAAACTAGCTTGATAGATGTGACAGAAGGAATTGTTTAAACTAGCTTGATAGACGTGACAGAAGTAGAAGGAAGTGTTTAAACTAGCTTGATAGACGTGACAGAAGGAATTGTTTAAACTAGCTTGATAGATGTGACAGTAGGAAGTGTTTAATCTAGCTTGATAGATGTGACAGAAGGAATTGTTTAAACTAGCTTGATAGACGTGACAGAAGTAGTAGGAAGTGTTTAAACTAGCTTGATAGACGTGACAGAAGTAGTAGGAAGTGT